ACCTCCAAAGGAAAACTCATCAGGTTACCATCAGACTTCTCAACAGAAACCTTACAGAACAGAAGGGAATGGTATGATATATTTAATGCAATGAAGCAGAAGGGCCTCGAATGAAGAATACTCTACCCAGCAAGATTATAATTTAAATTTGAAGGAGGAATTAAACAACTTCCAGATGAGCAAAAGATGAGAGAATTTACCTCCCACCAATGATCTCTACACTGTAATTTGGAGGGACTGCTATAGATGGAAGTGTTCTTAAGGCTAAACAGCTGTCACCAGAGGAAACAAAACCATAGTAGACAAAACAGAACAAATAATTACTAAGCACATGTAAAGTCAAATCAACTACCCCAGAGTCAGTCAAGGGATAGACAAGAGTACAGAATATGACACCTAATATATGAAGAATGGAGGAGGAAGAAAAAGGAGAAGAAAAAAAAAAGAAATTTTAGATTGTGTTTGTAATAGCATACTAAGTTGGTTAAATTAGACTGTTAGATAGTAATGAAGTTACCCTTGAACCTTTGGTACCACAAATCTAAAGCCTGCAATGGGAATAAGTACATACCTATTGATAATCACCCTAAATGTAAATGGTCTGAATGTACCAATCAAAAGACCTAAGAGTCACTGAATGGATAAAAAAAACGAGACCAGTCTATATGCTGACTACAAGAGACTCACTTCAAACCCAAAGACATAGACAGATTAAAAGTGAATGTTTGGAAAAAGATATTTTATTTTCATGAAACTAATAGGGAGAAAAAAACAAGTGTTCCAGTACTGGTATCAGACAAAATAAACTTCAAAACAAAGAGAGTCACACGAGACAAAGAAGGACATTACATAATGATAAACGGGTCAGTCCAACAAGAGGATATAACCATTATAAATATCTATGTTTCCAATACAGGAGCACCTACATATGTGAAACAAATACTAACAGAACTAAAGAGGGAAATAGAATGCAATGCATTCATTCTGGGAGACTTCAACACACCACTCACTCCAAAGGACAGATCAACTAGAGAGAAAATAAGAAGACAGAGGCATTGAACAACACATTAGAACACTTGGACCTAAAAGATATTTACAGAACACTTCATGCAAAACCAGTAGGATACATATTCTTCTCAAGTACACATGGAAAATTCAGATCATACACTAGGCCACAAAAAGAGCCTTGGTAAATGCAAAGAGACTGAAATAGTACCAAACAGCTTCTCAGATCACAAAGGTATGGAACTAGAAATAAATTACGCAAAGAAAATGAAAAATGGGGGCTTAACAACATGCTCCTAAATAATCAATGGATCAATGACCAAATAATCAATGGATCAATGACCAAACAAAAACAGAGATCAAGCAGTATATTGAGACAAGTGACAACAATAATTCAACACCGCAAAACCTGTGGGATGCACTAAAGGCCATGCTAAGAGGGAAGTATGTTGCAATACAGGCCTACCTCAGGAAAGAACAACGCCATATGAAGAGACTGAACTTATAATTAACAAAACTATAAAAAGAACAGAGGACCAAAGTCAGTAGAAGAAGGGACATAATAAAGATTAGAGCATAAATAAAATCAAGAAGAATAAAAATAGTATCAATGAAAGCATGAGCTGGTTCTTTGAGAAAATAAACAAAATACATAAACCCCTAGCCAGACTTATCAAGAAAAGAGGAGAGTCTATACACATAAACAGACTCAGAAATGAGGAAGGAAAAATCATCACGGACACCACAGAAATACAAAGACTTATGAGAGAAGAGTATGAAAAATTATCTGTTAAAAAACTGGATACCTAGAACAATATGGACCATTATGTTCTAGAAAAAAAAAAACTTCGAATAGTGTCAAAGGAAGAAACAGAAAATCTGAACAGACCAATTACCAGCAACAAAATTGAACTGGTAATCAAAACACTACCTAAGAACAAAACCCATGGACTACATAGCTTCACCATTGAATTTTATCAAACACTTAGTGAAGACATAATATCCATATTCCTTAATGTTTACAAGAAGTAGAAGATGAGGGAATAATTCCAAACTCATTCTATGAGGCCAGCATCACTCTTAATACCAAAAGCAGGCAAAGACACCACAAAAAAAGAAAATTACAGACCAATATCCCTGATGAACATAGATGCAAAAATACTCAACAAAATATTAGGAAACTGAATTCAAAAATACATTAAAAAGTCATCTATCATGATCAAGTAGGATTTATTCCAGGGATGCAAGGATCGTACAACATTTGAAAATCCACCAAAATCATACACGACATCAACAAAAAGGACAAAAACCATATGATCATCTCCATAGATGCTGAAAAAGCATTTGAAAAAATTCAACATCCATTCATGATAAAAACTCTCAACAAAATGGCTATAGATGGCAAGTACCTCAACATAATAAAGGCCATATATGACAAACCCACAGCCAACATTATACTTAAAAGCGAGAAGCTGAGAGCTTTTCCTTTAAGATTGGGAACAAGACAAGGATGCCCACTCTCCCCACTTCTATTCAACATATTACTGGAGGTCCTAGCAATGGCAATCAGACAACACAAAGAAATAAAAGGCATCCAGATTGGCAAGGAAGAAGTTAAACTGTCCCTGTTTGCAGATGACATGATATTGTACATAAAAAACCCTAAAGAATCCACTGCAAAACTACAAGATCTAATATTTGAATTCAGCAAAGTTGTGGGATACAAAATGGATACACAGAAATCTGTGGCATTCCTATGCACTAATGATGAACTAGCAGAAAGAGAAATCAGGAAAATAATTCCATTCACAATTGCACCAAAGAATAAAATACCTAGAAATAAACCTAACCAAGTGAAAGATTATACTCTGAACACTACACGACACTCATGAGAGAAATTAAAGAAGATACCAATAAATGGAAATACATCCTGTGCTCATGGATAGGAAGAATTAATATTGTCAAAGTGCCCAGACTGTCTGAAGCAATCTAGAGATTCAATGCAATTCCTATCAAAATCCCAACAGCATTTTTCAATGAACTAGAGCAAATCGTTCTAAAATTCATACGGAACCACAAAAGACCCTGAATAGCCAAAATAATCCTGAGAAGGAAGAATAAAGCTGGGGAGATTATGCTCCCCAACTTCAAGCTCTACTACAAAGCCACAGTAATCAGGATAATTTGGCACTGGCACAAGAACAGACCCATAGACCAATGGAACAGACTGAAGAGTCCTCATATAAACCCAAGCATATATGGTCAATTAATATATGATAAAGGAGCCATGGACATACAATGGGGAAATAACAGCCTCTTCAACAACTGGTGTTGTCAAAACTGGACAGCTACACGCAAGAGAATGAAAGTGGATTATTCTTTAACCCCATACACAAAAGTAAACTCAAAATGGATCAAAGACCTGAATGTAGGTATGAAACCATAAAACTCTTAGAAGACAACATAGGCAAAAATCTCCTAAATATAAACATGAGCAAGTTTTTCCTGAACACATGTACTCGAGCAAAGGAAACAAAAGCAAAAATGAACATATGGGACTACATCAAACTAAAAAGTTTCTGTACAGCAAAGGACACCATCAACAGAACAAAAAGACATCCTACAGTATGGGAGAATATATTTGTTAATGACATATCCAACAAGCGGTTAACATTCAAAATATATAAAGAACTCACATGCCTCAACATCCAAAAAGCAAATAGCCCTATTTAAAAATGGGCAGAGGACATGAAGAGCCAATTTTCCAAAGAAGTTCAGATGGCCAAGAGACATATGAAAAGATGCTCCATATCACTAATTATCAGGGAAATGCAAATTAAAATCACAATGAGGTATCACCTCACACCAGAAAGGATGGCCAACATTGAAAAGTCTAAGAACAACAAATGCTGGGGAGGATGCAGAGAAAGGGGAACCCTTATACACTGCTGGTGGGAATGTTAGCTAGTTTAACCGTTGTGGAAAGCAATATGGAGGTTCCTCAAAAAACTAAAAATAGAAATACCATTTGACCTGGGAATCTCACTCATTGGAATTTACCCAAAGAATACAACTTCTCAGATTCAAAATGGCATATGTACCCCTATGTTTACTGCAGCACTATTTATAATAGCCAAGGCATGGAAGCAACCTGTGTCCATCAGTAGATGAATGGATAAAGAAGAGGTGGTACATATACACAATGGAATACTATTCAGCCATAAGAAAGAAACAAATCCTACCATTTGCAACAACATGGATGGAGCTGGAGGGTATTATGCTCAGTGAAATAAGCCAGGCAGAGAAAGACAAGTGCCAAGTGATTTCCCTCATTTTTGGAGTATAACAATGAAGCAAAACTGAAGGAACAAAATAGCAGCAGACTCACAGACTCCAAGAAGGGACTAGTGGTTATCAAAGGGGAGGGTTGTGGGCAGGCAGGTGGGGATGGAGGGAGAAGGGGATTGAGTGGTATTATGTTTAATACCTATGGTGTTGGGGGGTCATGTGGTAGGCAGTGTAGCACAGAGAAGGCAAACAGTGAATCTGTGGCATCTTACTACACTGATGAACAGTGACTGCATTGGGGTATGGGTAGGGACTTGATAATATGTAGTAACCACATTGTTTTTTCATGTGAAACCTTCATATGAGTGTATATCAATAATACCTTATTTAAAAATTAAAAAAAAAAAGAAGGGACTACCGGTTTTCAAAGGGGAGGGGTGGGGGAGGGAAGGAGAAGAGGACTGAACGGTGTTTTGATTAGTACACATGGTGTTGGGGAGGTCCTGGGGAAGACAGTGTAGCACAGAGAAGACAAGTAGAGTCTCTGTGGCATCTTATACTGATGTACAGTGACTGCAACTGGGAATGGGGGTGGGAGGGACTCAATAACATGGGTGAATGTAGTAACCACATTGTTTTTTTTTGTAAAACCTTCATAAGAGTGTATATCAATGATACCTTAATAAAAAGAAAAAGGCACACACACATTTTTAAATACTTATTACATATATTTGTCATCAACACATCACAATGAATTCACACAAAAAGTGGGCTTAGTTCAGTTCACAATATAGATCCTGTGAAAGTCCATTTTTCGTTTTCTCGCCATTTTACAATACACTACTTATATAAATTTAAAGCAATTACACATTTGAGATTAAATTGGTAAAAAACTGTAGTTTATTTCAGGCTTCAGGAAGCTGTGAAATAAAAGGCCATGATGGAGAAACATTAGGAAATCTGCAGAAGTACCAAACTGTCACAGTATCACCTTTCTTTATAAAAGCATTTCCGCAAAACAAAACACAACTATGGAAAACACAGAAGTCAGAGATTTTGGTTTAGTACTTTCCCTGAGTCTCTAATTTTTTAAAATCAAATGTAAGTAAGGCCAGTTGAAAATTGACCTGTAGATCTTGCCTCTTCTGCACTGATATGAGGAATACATTTAAGACAAGAGTCTACATGCTCAAATGGTCCCAGGGCTTTACTCAAATGCCAATTTGCTTGTCACTGCCACAAGGTTATCTGAGCCACTGCTGTATGCTGCAAGTGGGCTTAAAGAGCTGTCAAGGTTTTATGTTGACTTGCCATAAGAAACATGTGAAACAATATACCAAATGAAGACAAATGATTTCAGTTATTAATAAATATTAAATTTCTAAATGGATGAACATTATATACAGCAGATTATGGTATTTTCACACAGAAACAAACACTTTTGTTTTAAAATCTTACATAAACAGGAGTTGGGGGGAAGCTGTCAAAATTTTAAGCCTCAGATGTTACAAGAAAAAAATTTCCAAAAAACTGAATTCATTAGATCCTAATAAAACAAAGTAGAAAAAAGTGGTAAGTTGATGCTTGGAATTAGATGGGCTAATTCCAAAATAGTAGCTGTCTCTCTTAAACAAAATTGGCCCCTACAGTGTTTCTACTTGATCATTTAATTGCAATGATATGTATGTGTACATACATATATATGTATATATGTTTGTAAGTAATCAAGTACTTCATTTAAAAAAAGCATATAATTAATAAGAATAAAAGGTTTGTTAGAATTTAAAAGTATTTTTTACTTCAAATGTACTAGGTTACTTGCTGGGATTATACTATGAGGGCACTAAGTAATATGGATCATACTTCTGTTCAAATGCAGGAAACCTTTTTCCCAGAGATGTTTTTACAATCATTCTTAGGGCATGTCAAAGATAGATGGCAAAGCACTGCTAATCTGTATGTCTCCCTTCATCATAATGAAATCTCAAATGCAGACTAATAGCCAACATTTTAGAAGTTAATAATCATACGCTATCTTAAAACTGAGGGGATGAAATAACTGGCTCTAACCACCAAAAGCATGACATTTATTCACATTCCTATTAATTAAAAGATTTTGTAATATAAGTACCCCATTGCATTGGGGGGTGGGGAGAACACACAAAAAGGCATTTTTTTTGGTAAAGAGTTGTCTAAAATTAGGGAAGCCAAGTTCATGATTATAGTCACACCTATAGAGGCTTGACACTTTGGGGATATAATGGATTCAAGGTTTGTGTGAAATGTTTTATTTAACTCACCTGTCCTGTTTATATCATACCATCTTTGCCTAACCTCTTGCAAACTCTTTAAAGCATGGATCTGGCAAATGCCACTTACCACCTGCCTTCTCTGACCAAGTGAAAAAGGCTAGCTGATGCTTGCGTAAATAAAAAAAATACCGATATTGCATTATATGCAATTAGCAAGACTCAATTATGAAACTATTCGACAAATGAATTTCAGTAACTCTCAAGAAACATTCCACAAATTCCCTAAGAATCTGTGGGTAGGTAAAATAACTAGCAGTCCCCTCTAAAACAGAAATTTACCTAGTGTTGGTATTACTGCTGATGATCTGAAATCAAATGTATACAATTGTTAGCCTCAAAGTACTAAACTAGTAAATAAAACTAAAAGGATCATCCAAGTTCCTAGATAACAACAAAATATCTAGGATTATTAAAGAAAGCATAGCACTTTGGTACTCTCCAGAAAAAAATATCGCAACTTATAAAAGTGAACATAAATGTGTGGAATTTACATTGTAACAACTAAGTAACAGTAAATGGATAGAGTATAACCCTGTAACTGCTTGACCAACTTTATATCTTTAAACATTTTATTTGCCCCTACCAACTACCATTCCAATTCCACAGGGTATTTTCCAGTGAGACAGGCTGTACAATGACCATTCTTTTCAAAACATTCCAGACCATTCCCATTCTCTTGAATCATAATACCTTGTTTTCTCACTTTCTGTTTTTTTAATTTTATCCCTTCTTGTACAGATGAAACCAGTCCTTCTACTGACAGATACACAACACTGTTTGCTCCTACAGAGGTTAAGAGGGAAAAGAAAAAGGTGATGAGACTTCCTTTGGAAGGAAAAACTATCTTAACAGAGAATAGTTACAAACAGAAAGACAAGTCAAGTAAAACTTTCTCCTTCAGCCTCTCTCTCTCAAAAAAAAAAAGGAGGGGTATGGAGTAGGGGACCAATAAAACTCAAGGCCTTCATTATTTTTAAAATTTTAAATACCAGCAGAGGCTGCAAGTCTAGAATGGATTCAGAAAGCTTCAGGAGTGATTTTCTTAAGAAAACAGATTTTGAAGTCAGGAAGATCTGCATCTATGTGACACTTATATAGTCATCTCACCCAAATTTGAAAGGTAAATGTCTTATCCAGGATAACTAGATCCTCCTCCATGTATCTGAACCTCATTATATAAGATAAGCCTATATAAATTTTGCACTTTTATATTTATACCCACATCCAAAGTATTCTTTTAGAATCTGTGGCAAACTTGTTTTTGTTTATAATGGGATCTGACCTTTGGGAGCTTTGACTGATAAGCCTGCAGTTCCCTCTGCCTGGAAAGCCCTTCTTCCTTCTCCTCTGATCTCACGTTGGCCTGGCTCTCAACACAGCCCTTACTAGGGGGACTACATGCACCAGGCACTCTGACTGTTCAAAATAGTGTTCAGCATTTGCTCAACATAAACAACATACATTTTTAACAAATTCTGAACACAATTTTTTATTAAAAGTATACAGATTAACAAGCTTTGGGTTTTCTCTGTTAATAAAGGAATAAAGATAAAGTTTATAGAAATTTTATTACCTACCTAGATATTTTGCAAGATGCTCAAATTCTGGTTTATTGGCAATAAGCTCTTCTTTTGTTGGTATGTTTATTCCCATAAAACATGGAAATCTAATTGGTGGTGAAGCTACTCGAATGTGTACCTTGGAAAGAAATCATTTCACATATTCTTTATTTTGATATTCATTTTAAGGATTATGCAAAATACTATCATTGACAAATGCAACATAAAATTGTTTTACAGAATATTTAATAACAACATAGGGGTAATGAAGGAAACTACAAAATTTCATCTTTAACAGATGAAAAAAAACCCCTGGAAAACCATGTGGTATACATATAGAATTCCAGTGTTTAGTTAGAACTTTTAGAGTCAATTACCAAGAATCCTTCTTGAGCAGGTCTAAAGTGTCCTGGGCAAGAACTTTAAAATGTCAGTCACTCATGACCACAATGGAGAGGGTGAGGGCTTGATAATATGGGTGAATGTTGAACCACTGTTTTGTGTATGTGAAACCATCATAAGACTGTATATCAATGATACTTAATTAAAAAAAAAATGTCAGCCACTCATAATGGGTCCCATTTACAGAGCTGACCATTGTTTCCATCTGTCACTTATTAATGAGGCTATTTCTTTCTTCTGATCTTCTATGTCTCATTTAATAAGTTTATATTACTAGGACCACCTTTTCTCTTCTAACACTTGAATGGCACCTTTGCCTCTCTCTTATTTCATCATTTTAAAAAGAGAAATATCTATTGCATTAAGTGAAAACTTTACTACTACAAAGGGCTATTTTTGTCTATTATTATTTTCTCCCTTTTATCATGCATATTTACATGGATCAAATCAGCATCTACATCTTTTTTTTTATTTTGGTATCATTAATCTACAAGAACATTATGTTTACTAGGCTCCCCGCTTCACCAAGTCCCCCACATACCCCTTCACAGTCACTGTCCATCAGCATAGTAAGATGCTGTAATATCACTATTTGTCTTCTCTGTGTTGCACAGCCCTCCCCGTGCCCCCCCCACCCACTATACATGCTAACTGTAATGCCCCCTTTCTTTTTCCCCGCCCTTATCCCTCCCTTCCCACCCATCCTCCCCAGTCCCTTTCCCTTTGGTAACTGTTAGTCCATTCTTGGGTTCTGTGATTCTGCTGCTGTTTTGTTCCTTCAGTTTTCCTTTGTTCTTATACTCCACATATGAGTGAAATCATTTGGTACTTGTCTTTCTC